TTCCAAGAAATGGTTAATTTATAAGAAACACCAACTTTTTTGGACTCTTTTACAATCCTCTGGACAAAATTCTTATAAACACAGTTGCAAGTCTTTCATGCTCTGGATGAAGGTATCTATTAGATTAATAATTTGTCCCTCACAAGCACATGTCCTTGTACGGGATGCTTCACTTTCTAGGTCTCTATCTCTGACTGGTCAACACCAGGGTTGGGTCATGGCTTTCCCAATGTCTCACAGGCTGTATCGCTCAAGGAGCTCATAGGGCTTTTTCCCCAAGATGATTTAGGGTGTTATAAAAGTTTTACTGTTTTTTTTTTTCTCCCTATTTGTCACTTTCCCTAAACCTTTCCTTTGAGGTTATAAGAAAATAAAGTAACACTGTTTACGCATGCAGAGTTCTTTTTTATTTATTTTCTTTTCAATATTTAAGCAGTTTAACCAGCTACATTTAGTAATTTGAGGTCTTGTATAACTTCATACATAATTAAGAGTCTTAATAAAAAAGGTTAAATGCTCTGCTTACAATTAGTGAAGATAACACTGTTGGAAGACAGCTGTCGTGAACTAATTCACTGAGCCCTGGTGGAGGGACAGGGCTGAGGGCGAGCAGCATAAACCCTGGCCCTATGAAGCTCCTCACCAGGATCGGGAGCAACACACAGACGACCTGGATGTAGGGACCATCTCAGCCATGAAGAGCTCAGTCCCCGAGGTGGATCGCGTAGGCTTGAATTCTCACCCTGCCACTTACTCGCTGTGTCAACTTAGCTAAGTCACAAAACTTCTCTTACCTCATTTTCTTCATCTGTAAAATGAGAAGACGAATACTACTACCTACTTCACAGCATCGTTGTGGTGACTCAGAGTTAATACACGGAGAGCTTAGAAGAATGATTGGCACATGGTGCTAATTAAGTGCGAGCTGTTATTATTATTGATGCTATTATCACCGCACAGAAGTAAGGATAAATACAAAGTGAGCGAAATGCATGTAAAAGAAGGATATTACTTCACTGTGTCGGGCGGCCTCTAATTACGTCCCCGCCGTCTCCTCTCCCACCCCACCAAGGCCAGGCTGCCCTCCGTTTCTGAGTGTCAGCCTTCCTCGGTGAACACTTTTTATGCTAATGCCCCTTTACCTCCTGTGTGTAATAATCAAATCAAAGGTACACATCGCTCGCCTTATTCTCTCAGTGTATGTATTTCTTATTTTCTCATTTGAAGATGCTGCACATGGCGCTGCTGTCGAAGAGCTCACGGTTCCCGTTTGGGCCTGCGTGTCCATGCACCTGATTAACCGCGCGCAGGGTGCCAAGTGGTGCTGGCTGACGGACGCGGAGTGCTGGTTCAGACACAGCTTCCACTGGCACAGGCCGGGGGCTGGCAAAGTGTGCTCTTCAAAGGGCCAGGGAGTAACTATTTTTCACTTTGTAGGCCATATGTTCTCTGCTGCAACTGTCACAACAAGTCAACTCGGCCACTACTGCTCCACCCACTACATAAACATATGGCTATGTCCTGATAAAACTTTACTTACAAAAACAGGCCTGAGAGGGGCAGTTTGCTAACACTGGGCATAGAGCCTCACGGGGATGTCAAAATTGTAAGCCAGACCAGCTAAAATGAAACCCTATCATGGCTTACAAAAGAATGCACAAACAGAGCCCAGCTCTTTCCTTCACAAGGCTGCCCACAGGCAGAAGGCATAAATTAGTACCCTTAATATAGTGACACAGGCTTACTCCATGGTCCCCAACCCCAACCTCTGAGCTCACAAACCTCGGTGAATATTTAGCTACTAAATTAAGTGAAGCTCTTGCTTCCACTCTCAAGCCATCATTATTTTCTTGCTAGGTGACTTAAGCTTTTTACAGCTTGAACTACAAAGCTGATGAGTTGGATTCACTCATCCAAGGAACAAAGCAATTTTAGGTTTGCCTGTCTGAGCTAACATTTCATGATTCTAATCCTCACACTTTCAATTAACAGATGGACACATCACATTCATCCATAAACAGAAAGGAAAACAGTAATTTCTCTAATGCACACCTGGGAAAGACAACTGGAACTTGGATTTGTACATTAAGTATAATGCAACTTAATTATTAGAGCAAGTGAAAGCTACTACGAACACGATGGACAGTTGAGAAGTTTTTTGTTTTTAAATCTCAGTGTTTCCTATTTTTTCAAAGAAATGTTCTAGTATCCAGGAGGGCTGTGTTAATGATAAAGGTGACTCAAGAATCTCATCCAGGGGCCGGGGAGATGGCTCAGTGGAATAAGCGCTTCCCTGGCAAGCACAAGGGCCTGAGTTCAATCCCCGGTTCCACCCAAAAAAAAAAAAAAAAAAAAATCTCATCCAACCTAGTAGTGGTAGAAAGGAGATTAGGTTTTATAGAAACAGTATGAGGACTTCAGAAGATAATCTACCTTTCCCCCTTACATTATTTAGAATAAAAGTATGAATTTTCTTTTAAAAATGCAAAACAAAAATTAGCTGTTTTGATATCTAAATGAAAACAAAATGTTTTATATTGTTTTGAGAACAAGATTCAAGGCTTCATCCGTATTAAAATCTTTTTTCTTTTTAAATGAATTTAGGACAAGATCTACAGGGTGTACAGGGTCTCACTTTATAGATTTGACTCATAGTGGTTCTCCTGTTTTCAGCCTTCCAAGTGCTGGGATTACAGGCACTCACCATTATGCCCAGTCTCAACCAGTCTCAATCACCGTCTCAGTATGCCCCTGGGGTGGGGCCAGCACGGCATGCTGGGGATTGAACCCTGGCTGCTGCGCTCTGCCTAAGCAGGTGCTTTAGTCTGCTGAGCTATCTGGCCAGCCCTCAAAATCTTTTAATCAAGACACATGAAGTGGGAGTGTGGTGCATGCCTGTAATTCCAGCGCTTGGGAGACCAAGGCAGGAAGATTGCCATGAGTTCTGAGGCCAGCTTGGGGTACACAGAATTCAAAGCTAGTCTGAATTATATAGTAATATCTTGTCTCAAACAAAAACAAACCAACAAAAAGACACTAACCAAAGAATACCAAGAAAAAGATCCATGATTTTCTTCCATAATTTTACTGAGAAATAAATAGCAATGAGATAGTTTCAAATCAAATTGGTAGGACAGTTCCAATAATTAACACATTGCATACTGCCTTCCTAGTGGTTGTTTGCTGTATAAGATGCAGAAATGATATCCTATTTACAAACACTGTTAGACCAAATCCCTCTATTCCTTGAATTAAGAGAATGTAGCTATATATCTATCCTAATCATTTTGAATACACAGATACAAAGTGGTCATTCATCTATATCCCGTTTTTGTTTAATTCTAAGATCCATGGTTTTACCCATTCTAAAATCATTTAACTCTGTCATACATACACAATGACTAGCAGAAATGAAAGGGAGTACCTACATAAATCTGGAGCCTTCATTATAAAAATTAATCCTAAAATGTTAAAATGAAAATTTTGCTCCAGAACTGATAGTAGATAAACTTCCAGCTTGGCTTTTCCTTTCCCACTCTTGAAGTGATTACAGAAACTAATAGACTAAAGCATCTTCCTGGACACAAATAACTTCCTTTACTTGAAAGATAAGAATAAGAGGTCCAAGCAAAATTCACTCTGTGCACTTACTTTTTATATTTTTAGCAAACTTATTTTGGTGAAACTAAATAAATTATAATATATATGACTCCAATAACTACATAAAATATAGATGTGTAATTTCTAAGGAGAACTGCCTGCTAAACCCTTATGTTTACAGATCCATAAATAAAATCTGGCCACATCAGTAATTTAATTCTGATCTGGTGACATAGCGTGTTTGCAATCCTGTAAAAAAAAATAACCAATCTTACTGACTGACATCTTGGTATACTTTAGGGGTAATCAAATAAGCAATGTGGAAAAGCAGCCAATGCGCTAGAAGGTACAATTTTTCTGTAGGGTTAAACTTCAAAATGCAGCAATTTCACACTTGAACTGACCAGTTAAGTCAACGAAGTCAGATAAGTTGATCGCGCCTGCATAAACCTTCCTGTCTTTTTGAAAGATTTAAAAATCGGATCATGACTGGATTGACTTTGTAATTTATGGTCTGCTAGGCTAAAGCTGTGGAATTAATTCAAGAACTCAACATTACCAAGTACATAAAGATAAAGATGTGGGTTTTAAATGTTATTTTTGCATAAGTTTACTTACCGCCATATAAGCATTTGTTCCAACATACGTCTTGGCTATAGAATTCACCAGCTATGAGATGAAACAGTCTGTTAGAACAATATAAAGATAATGTGGAAATAAAATGGGCAATTATTCCTCATTTAACCTACAATCATCAATCCTATAAATCAACTAAAAATTATGGAAAAGGGAACAAATTTATCTACAAAGGCATTAAAAATGATTAAATCTCTCTTTTCTTTTGAATGTGATTTCCAATTTAAACGAGTGCAGCGTTACAGTTTATAGCAGATAACCTTAAACAATTCACTTAAGCGGGATGCTTATTGCTTTCGTACCCCAAACCCGCCTGATATAAAACATCCATTTGAAGTAGAATTTGAGCACACTCGTTTTTAGTCAGATGGCTAAAGATGTGAACGGAGCTCTGTGTATCACTGGAATGAAATGAACGCTAAATATGCTGGAGGGATAACAGACTTTGACAACTCATAATACGATGGTGACCTTCGCTTTGGTCTTCATGTTTGGCTGGGAGTAAAGGTGGCTACAATTCAAATCAACATCACAGCACGCTCATGGGTCACTATCACTGGGGTTCTCAGGGGAGGCCCAAAATGGAAATTAATTAAAATTTGTGCTGCACATTGTAATGGCCCTCCACCATTGTTGCTCCCAATATTAATTTTTATTGTGGGCCAGTTGGGCTCCCCAGGCACCGCTCCCACTCTGCCCTCCCTTTTGTCTGGCCAGAACGCTTTCATATCAAAGCTGCATATCAATGAAGTTTGCTATTCGTAAGTAGTAATTACAATATCAGCAGTTTTTACTGTCATTAAACAATGAACAATCATATTCTGATGAAGGAAACTCGCTTAGAGATTAAAAATGAATAACGCGCTCCCAGCCGAGGATGAGAGGCAGTTTCTGTTTGTCTGGCAGCAAGGTGATTTTTCAGTCCAGACAGGGGGTGCAAATAAAAGTGGGTGTTGCAGGGGGGGCAGGGCACTGGGAGGAAAAGAGACCTACCTGAGTGCTTACACCAAAATCACAGAGCTTGACTTGTCCTCGCGAGTTCACGAGCATGTTGGAAGGCTTCACATCTACAAAGGAACCGAGAAGCCCGTGTAACTCATCCTGCATCGGCAGTGCTTGTTTTGAAAAGCACACATGCACAACACACCATATCGGAATCATACATTTCCAGAGAAGCAAGGGTTTATTTCAAGTGCAAGATAAATCAAAGCTTAGCTTCCAGTGAGAGTAAATCCGCCCATCATCCTCACCATAGCATTTCAGGAAAAGTAGAAAGGTAAGAAAATGTAATCTTGCAAAGAATTTGCACAAAAAGGATTCGCTTTACTTTATATGTATAACCAATAAACTACCTATCCTATCTATGAGGCAGTAAGGTCAAAAAGAAGACAAGGGAAAAATCACTCCCATGATGTGGGTAACAGATCATATCTGAGTGAAACAACGAGAAAATGAGCACAATTGCCATTTCCCATGTTTTACGTGACAAATGCTATTTCAGATAACGCTCAGAAACTGACCTAAAAGATGTCTCACGTGCACACGCATGCACGTATCGGTCTTTGTTTCATTGATCCTTTTCCTCCTTTACATCATTTTTGACTGTGGTTACAGTTAACAAAAGAATTGACATAGCTGTTGCCAAAGCAGTCAGTCGGTAAATAATGACACAAAGGGCCTCTGTCAAACATTGTCAGTGACAACAATGAGCCTTTTCTGGAATTCAGGCCACAAAAACCACTGAAGCAAGACAAGAACACACCACTTTTTTAGACAGTAGACAGCAGCACCTGCTTCAGCACTTCATGTTTAATGGCAAAAATGGTCTAGGACAGACAGCTGGCTACTGTTCCTACAGCATATCCACTTAACTATCCCAAATAGGAACCAGAGTCTCAGAATTGTTTATGCAATATTTTAAAAATAATCTGCAAATGAATTAGTCTCTCAGGCTTCTACCATGCAAACAGGTACCTTAACACTATGCCAAGGGGAGGTAGTTCATTTAAATTTCATGTTGAAAGTCAGTAACTGACAAATTTGAATCTCTACATAGTATGGGATGGGCAATGGGCTGAGAACTTTCCCAAACATCAGCTCACATAGCGCTGGCTAACTGACCTTTGGATGTGAAGTCCTCTTTCAATGTGTGTCATCCCCACCACCTAACAGAGCAGCAAGCATACCGTAAGTGCTCAATACATAGTCACTGAATGACGGCCAAGCGTGAATGCGTAGTGTTATTTTATGGTGATGACTATGTTTCAGGGAAGAGGCCTTACCTGTGGACTGTGTCCCTGCAGCATGCCCTTCACATGACACACACTATAACCCTGACTGCAGCCCTCTCTTTAAATACAAGTTATATGCACAGGGACATACAAACTCGCCTCCCAACTGTTCTATCTCCAGTTTTTTTTCTCAACCTTCAGTCTCAACTCTTTACAGCATCATTCCATTAAACCTTAACTATGGCACTTTCACTACATCATTTTTCTCCTGGAGGAAATGAAATGTTTCTTGGCATGCTCTCTACCCACTTCTTAAGAAGACGGTTGTGATTTCAAATGTATTCCAGCAATAAGCAGAACACATCACAGACAGTCGGAGTAGAGGCTTAATAACTACATCAGCTGGGCATGATGGCACATGTCTGTTATCCCAGCATGCTGGGAGGCTGAAGCAGGAGGATCATATATTTGAGCTTAGCCTGGGTGACTTAGCAAGACCCTATCTCAAAATTAAAAAAAAAAAAAAAAAGTTTGCCAAAGCAAAAAGCCCTTTCATTTGACATAGCCTAGCCTTGTTTTCCAGATCTAATTCTCATTAGAGGACTTCAATTATGAGTATTTTCTTTTGTACAATTTGTTCTCTTAGATATTGACACCTTAAACCACCCTTAAGCTCCACAATCAGAGGGCAACAGTTCCTGAACACATACTCTGAGCTCCTACAAGGACTACCTGCAAACCATGAGGCACGCTAATGTAGTAAAAGGTACCTCCAATTAGACACACATCAGACTGAAGGGGGATTAAGAGAAGGGAAAAAGAATAAAACCGGGGGCTGGTGAGATGGCTCAGTGGTCTAAAGCACCTACTTAGAACAAGCTTAGCAAAGCACAGCGACCACGGTTCAATCCCCCAGCACCACATGCCAGCCAGCCCCACCCCCTGGTGGGCTGAGCTGGCTACGCACACACAAATAAATAAATAAATAAAATTAAAAAAAAAAAAAAAAGAATAAAAACCAAAACTGCTGGACCGTGTTGTAAAAGGCATGGTGTACTGCACTTTCCAGCTCTCTACAGTATCTCTGGATAGAGTAACTCTGGAAGCCCACTTGCACATTTAGCCTAGTTTACCAGAGTGCTGAATGGCTAATGGTCCTAGGCTCCCGAGGACCCTCAAATCAACCTCTGCGCTCCAACTACCATCTTCATCACTGTCATGAAGAAAATTCCTGTGTTCCTGCCGCCCTCGCCTTTCCTACTCAGCCAGATTTAGAGTCCCCTCTATATTTTCCAGTGACCTGAATCCCACCCATGCTTCCACTCAAACACCTGCCTCCCCGCTGTGCCAACTTCTCAGGCCATCAAAGCCATGGTTTCCTGTGAATTGTTGCGGCACTGCTGTCTGTGCCACGTATTTGCATGTGATGCTTCCTAGTTATCTGCTGGTACAGGTATGATCACTACAGGAAACCAGTTCACAGGGTAGAAATGTGGACACCTCCACCTCTGTAAGAATCCCTTCCAAGTACAGCATCCTGTTCAGTGGGTATTTCTTTTAAATAGTATTAAATTTACTAACTTCAATACCCCCTTCACAGTAATATCTCAAGGCATAATCTGAACATAACAAACTAAGCCAATGGATTCACCCTAGGAGACCAAAGATCTGGGTTTACTCTTTTTGATCCTGCCCCAAACTTGACATGGGATTTTGGACTCAACATGTGATGTTTTGGTTTTACCTCTGGAGGGAGATAATAGTTTCCATGTCTGCCTTAAGAAGCGGTGAGGATCAGATGAGACAGTGAATGTAAAATTGCTCTGTAAACTATCAAACACTCTATAAATGTAAGGGATTATTATGAGTTGGTAATCGGCCATGCTACAAAAAGTGATGCATCTCCTATTTGAGAAATAGTTTCTTTGCTACTGTAGCAATTTAAACTGAATTTGAGAAAAATATTAGCTGAAAGAAAGTAATTTCCAAAGTCCACTACACAGAACTGTAAAAGCCAGTTAATACGTGTGAGGAGACCTTTATGCTACACCATCCGACTGGTCCCTCACCAGCCTCCTGCACAGCTCTCCCTATTTTCACACTTGCTCTAGTCTGTGTCTCACACAGCAGTGGAGGTGAACCTTTAACACCAAGTCAGACTCCATCTGTTCTCCCCAAACACTCGTGACAGAGTCCCAAGGAAACGGGAAAGGCGACCCCATCCTCTGCAGTGGGCTTCATGCCCTGTGCCAGCTCTCTCTGCCCCCACACTCTCAGCCTTACATCCCCACCCTGCCCACGCCTACACCCCACAGGCCTCCCTGCCGGGCACCCCGGGCCTCTGCATCCCCCCAACACCATGGTGTGCTTCTTCACTTCCTTTGGACTTTCTGTCACATGACCTTTCTAAGGGAGCCCTCCCAACCAGCCAGGGTGGGACACAACATTGCCCTGGCCGTATGTCCCCTTCCCTCCCCCCGGCTCGTTCCTGTTCTGACATTTAGCATCACTGACACCCGGCTGTCTGTACACGTGGCTCCATTAATTCTGGTCCTCCCCTCCTGAAGGAAGGCTCCTGAATACACTCGATCTGTTGTGCTCACTACTGTATCTAGAATGGTATCTGGTATGTGCAGGAAATGGCATCTGTAGAACCAGTAAATGGTAATGGGCACTAGAAGATGGGCTAACGTGTGTGTGCAGAATAGCCACGAGTTTGATCTAAGAAGGAACTGTGTCTTCGCCAATTAATGGAACACACTTTAAGATGAACACATTTCTTTAACTATCATATATATATATGTGCATATATACATATATACATATATACATATATGTATATGATAGTTAATATAGTTACACTATGAATTTCTCTTAGTTCATTGAAAAGAAAGGTTTCTGCTAACATATTCTGGATAATTAAGCATTGATATCTTGTATTCTGAGTAACTAATTTAAAGATAACAATATGCAATGTATTTAGCATTATTACCCTATTCTCTTGTTTTGAAATTGTTTTATTTCTTTTTAAAAGAAAAAAACCCCACTAAATATTCTCTCAGTGTTATTTCCCTTCTGAACCACTGGCCTGCTTCTTATATTAAGGACAATGGTAGTTATACATTTAGTTAGCTCCCAAGGCTGAAATTGAAACAAAGTTTTCTGCCCTGTAATCCCAGTACCCTGAGAGGGAAAAAAAAAAAAGTTAAAATATTCTCTCAATGGACTGATGGATTGAAGGTCCTGTTTTACCTAGATATACCCCTCTGGCTATCTTCCCAGAAGAATTAAAAATGTCACACAACAGCAACACATGTGTACCCATGTTTCTAGCAGCATCTTGTTTCTGACCTACCTTGCTTGTGTGGGTCAGTGACTTGGGGAAACCCTGTCTCAAAATAGGTAAAAGGCTAAGTGAGTAGCTCAGTGTGAAGGTCCCGGGTTCAACGCTCAGCATGGCAAAACCAAGCCAAGCCAAACCAAACCACACCACAGCACAACTGGATACTAGCCTAAAGCTACTAAGTCAGAAACCAATCTAATATAGCCTGCTCTTCAGACCAGTACTTAGCCAAGGCCTACAAAATCATTGCTATTTTTCTCATTTCAGGATATCTAAAGAGAAATTTCTCTTTTCACTTCACTTTTTTTTTCACTTCACTTTTTGAAATCAATTTTATTAAAATAATTTTATTGCAGCTATTTTGAGCGCACAATTTGATAAGTCTAACAAAATGTGTACAATGTGTGAAAAGTTAGCAAACATTTCCATTACCTCCCTTGCTCTGGGTCCTGTTCCAGAAGACAACACTTTGGCCTCCAACCTTCACATTGAG